AAGAAATCATGGAATCACAATAAACATAACTAAATTATGAACACAGGAAATTAATCAAATTAACAAGATTTCTTAAGCTCTATGATTCCTGGTGTGGTGCTGTGGGTTAATGTGCTGGACTACAATGTTGGCTTGAACAATAAGGTCAGTGGTTCAAACTCACCAGGAACAGGATTACTATGAATCAGAACTGACAACATGATTTTAAGATATCAACTGAATGCTAAAAGTAAATAAGATAACAACAAGCTATCACATTTTGTGACATTTTAAAAACTGGAAGAGCAATAATTTAGCAATCACCAGAATGAATACTTTATGTAAAAACAGAACGAAAATATTACAGAGTTTTTAGGGCTTGCAATCAGTAAAATGAAACAAAATGTATATGAATTGTTGGATGTAAAACTGATCATCTGCTCTGTAAATCCTCACCCAATTCATTAAGAAAAAGCTAAAAAAAAACATGAAAAAAAATGTTTTTTAAATGCTTACACTGTTGAATTACAAAAATTAGATCAATATACTACCAAAATATATTGAAAGAAGGATGAATCTTATGTTATTCTTTATTTCTCTCCCTAACTGCTAACTACTCCCTCAAGAACTGTTTAAAATAAACAAGCATATTGAATTTAAAAAATTTTTTAAAGACAGGAATGTTCGCACAAACTTGTTTAAGCCTTCTTGTACATAAGCTAACAAGTTACACTGGGCACTATTTCTTATTGTTACTGCTGGGTGCTGCAGAGTCAATCCTGACTCATCGCTACCTCATGTGGCAGAGAACTGCCCTGCACTTTTCCTACGCTGTCATCTTTAAGGAAGCGGATAGTCAGGCTTTTGTCCTGTGGAGCCACTGTTGTTGTTAACTGTCAAGTCCATTCCGACCCACAGCATCCCTATATAGGGTTTCCGAGGAGCAGCTGGTGAGCTTGAACCACCAACTTTACAGTTCAAATGACTTTGCAGTCTGACACATTAGCCCATAGTGTCACACCACAGCTCCTGAGGGGATTCAAATCGCTAACCTTTCAATTAGCACTTTACCACTGTGCCACCAGAGTTCCTTACGTATTAACTCAGCAGCTAGAAAAAAGAATGGAGGGTTTTCAAGACCAGAAGGTCACACACAGTGAAGTGAATTCTTGGTGCTCAGGCCTTGACCAGGGCACTGTGGAACACACTAACCTGCTAAGATATGCCATTGCTTTGCCATGAAGTTTTGTTTTAATATGAAACCAAAGTAAGCAGTTTCGCTCAAAGTCCTTTTGCATTAAGCAAAAGGAGTTCTTTTGGGCTTACACCTGTGCCTCATTATATAGTGATTAAGTATGTGCTGAAAACAAATTACTACTATCTACCACTTCATTCTTCTTGGATCAAGTATCAACACTCATGGAAGCAACAGTCAAGAAATCAAACAACGTATTGCATTAAGCAAATCTGCTGCACAAGGTCTGTTTAAAGTGTTAAAGAGCAAAGACCTAAACTTAAGAATTAAGGTACGTATGACCCAAGCCATGGTATTTTCAATAACCTCATATGCATGCAGAAGCTGGACAGTGAATAAGGAAGACCGTAGAAGAATTGAGGCTTTTGAGTTGTAGTGTTGGAGGAGAATATGGAAAGTGCTACAGGCTGCCAAAAGAACCAATAGATCCGTTTTGGAAGAAGTGCAGCCAGAGTGCTCCTTAAAGGCCAAGATGGCCAAACTTCGTCTCTCATACTTTGGACATATTGTCAGGAGGGAACAGTCACTGGAGAAGCATATCATGTTTGGTAAGGTGGTGGGTCAGAGAAAAAGAGGAAGACCCCCAATGAGATGGATTGGGCAAATGGTAGTATCGATGGACTCAAGCGTGGCAACAGTAGTGAGGTTGGCCCAGGATTGGGCAGTGTTTCGTTCTGCTGTGCATAAGGTTGCTATCGGTAGGTACCGACTCGATGGCACCTAACAACAACAACAGCCACTATCAAGGAGTCCTGGTGTGGCGCTGTGGGTTACTGTGTTAGACTGCAAAGTTAATTTGAATCACAAGGTCAACGGTTCGAGCTCACCAGCGCTCTTAAGAAACCCTATACGGGGTCACTATGGGTTGGAACCAACTTGACGGCTTTTAAAAACAACAATAACCACTATCAATGGAATCCTGGTATGGTACTCTAAGATAAGCATTGGACTGCTAGGCTGGTTTGAACCATTAGGTTGGTGGTTCAAACTCACTAGTCACTGCTCAGAAACCCTATACAGGGTAAGTCAGAACCAACTCAATGGCACTTAACAACCACCACCACCACTATCAACACTCATAGAAGCAGCAGTCAAAAAATCAGATGACATATTGCTAGGCTAATCTGCTGCACAAGACCTCTTTAAAGTGTTGAAGAGGTCTTGTGCAGCAGATTTTTAAGATGTTAGTTTGAGGATTTAGGTGTGCCTGACCCAAGCCATGGTATTTTCAATAGCCTCATATGCCAGTGAAAGTTAAAGAATAAATAAGGAAGACAATGAAAGTATTGATGCATTTGACTTATGGGATTTCAGAAGAATAGTACAAGAAAAGCAAACAAATTGATATTGGAGGAAATACAGCCAGAATGCTCCTTAGAAGGCAGAGACTTTGGCTTTCATACTTTAAACATGTTATCAGGAGGGACCAGTCAATGGAGAAGGACATCAGTAACCATGATTGTGAGACTGGTGCAGGACGGGGCAGTGTTTCGTTCTCTTGTACTAAGGACGCTCTGAGTCAGAACAACAACAACAACAACAATTGCACATTAAGGAGTCCTGATAGTGCACTGGTTATGCGCTGGGCTACTAATCAAGATTGCAGGTTCAGCAGTTCAGTTTGACTCTCCCAGTCACTCTAGGGGAGAAAGATGAGAGGCTTTCTGCTCCTTTAAAGATTTATACCTTCTGAACCCCTATACAGGGTCACTATGCATCAGAACCAACTTGGCGGCACACAACCACCATCCCTTCCTATATATTAACTGTTTGCACCATTAACTTGGTGGCACAATGGGTTAAGCATTGGTCTGAAAACTATAAGGGAGACGGTTCAAACCCACCAGCTACTCTGTAGGATAACAATGAGATTATCTGATCCTGTAAAGATTTAAAATCTTGAAAATCACATGGAGGTGTTCTAGCCTGTCCTAAAAGCTTGCTATTATTCAGAATCTACTTGATGACAGTAGTTGTTTTTGCGTAATAGGCTTAGTTACATCTCTGAACTAGGTAGAACAAAAGAAGTCTCCTTTTTGTCTTTTTGAAGAGGGAATAACATTTATAAAAATATCATTAAAACAAAGACTGATTTCTACAGAAATACATTGTTTGTTGTTGTTATTAAGTGCTGTCGAGTCAGTTCTGACCCATAGCGACCCTATATAGGGTTTCCAAGGAGCAGCTGGTGAGAGTCGGAGAAAACAGTTTAAATAAAAATGCTGGAGGAAACAATCAGCTTTAAAAACGGATTATTTCTGGGCAGTGGGACTACAAATTATTTTTATTTTTTCATATTATTTTGTATTTTTAAAGCAGATTTTTTTCTAAGTTGATATCAGAAAAAAAAAAAGAAGTTAAAAAAGAAATACTATCAGCTTCTTTGAGGACCAGTCCATGTTTCTGGTTATCATTCGTTTCCTTTGTTGACAAGATCATCATTTTCTTCATAACAAAGCAAAGATTTCCATTGTAAAATATAGAAGACTTTCCCTGGAGGGATAAAGGAGCTATCATAGATCAAAGGGTCTTAATGAGTCAAAGAATAATCCTTTGAAAATTCAGGTCTGTTTTGAATCTCCAAAGGCTTTGAGGTTTAATCAGATGCTGAATCTTCAAAAAGGTCTAAAATCTTGAGTCATTTATGGTCTGTAGCAGACAAGGAATGAATGGTGCTCTCTTGCTTTATTTTATCCTGACCAACAGGCTTCACCTAGAGACCTGTCCTGGTGTCCTCTCAAAAGAGCAGGCAAAACGGTAAGGAATCATGGAATACTCTGCCCGTGGAATACGCTTGGCTTGGAGATACCTACAATTAAATCAACGCTCTTAGCCGATGCAGACGATGAATAAGGCCAACAGGAAACTGTTATCAGTTGGCTCTGTATAGACAGGTGCCCTTCATTGGAGCCCTGTTAGTAAAGGGAAGCAGGAAGGTAGACTATTATCAAGGAGAACTATCGTGGACAGACTGCCACCTGTCTGTCAGTTCGTGGTAGTGTTGTGGTGTTCCTGTTGCTCTGTTACCGCTGTTTCAAACACCAGCAGGATTACCTTAGTGGACAGATTTCAGTTGAGCTTCCAGACTAAGACAGACTAAGAAGCAAGGCATGGAGATCTACTACTGAATAACAGTCAATGAAATCCCTATGGATGTTGGTAACTTCCAGACTCGTAGAGACCCTATGTAGGGTTTCTGAGGAGTGGCTGGTGGGTTTGAACAGCTGACCTTGCAGTTAGCAGTCCAGTGCTTATTTTACAGTACCACACCAGGACTTCCTATGGATGCAACCCCATTTGTTTCTCAGTAGAGTGATGGAAGATGAGTCCTTCCAAATGGAAGGCACTCAAACTATACGGTATCCTCAACACTGGATTTGAACTGACTAAGGGGCAGGACAATGATGTGGAGCCAGACAACATTTGGTTTTGTTGTACATGAGGTCACCAAAGCAGGAGAAGGGGACTCACATTCCTGTGTTTTATACACACTCATTACCTCACTAGACAGATGAAGTAACCAAGGTATAAGAAGGTGAGGGACTTGGCTTAGCTCACGGTCCAAGATGGGTGGTTAAGCAAAGACTATTAAAGTGAGATCCCGAGGATTCTTTTCATTGGGAAGCGGACTGAAAGGAGCCAATCATACCCAAAATAATATAAATGAAATTAGGCAAATAGGCGCCTGCATTTTATGAGTAAATTTTCTTACATTTTTCAGTATATTTATCCCATTTCAAATGATAAATAGGTAAAAGGTTCTTACATAAAACCCTTCAGATTGTCCTGAGGGTCCCGGAAGTAGAGGAACTTTGGATGGCAATTTGAGTTCATATGTCATTATACTCCACCTGAAGGGGAAAAAAGAATTTTATTAAAAAAATCCCTTTAAAATTTCATCAGTTAACTCAGGTCTCTCTCTACACACACGAGATTAAGTCAGAAAGTACTGCTACAGGGTTCTAATTCACACGTGTTTAAACATGTCTCTGCAATCAGTAGATGAATGTAGGTTAAGTTCTCAGTCATGCATTTGTTTTAGTCTCTTTGGGGAGCCTTAAAAAAAAAAACAACGGTCCAGTTAAAACAGTGGCTCCCCAGGGGATCTGATGGGACATTTAGATTCAAGGCACAGAGGTCAGCTTAGAAGTTTATGGGCGACTATGAAGTAGGATTGTAAAGGGGCTATCGTGATAAATGTTATCAAAGGATGATCACAGGGGTTATTAGCAAGTTTTAAGAAAATTGAAAGCTGCACTGGTGAGAATGAAGGCCAATAAAATCTTTTATATGTTGTTGTAAAGTGCCATCGAGTCAGTTTTGACTCACAGCAACCCTTTATAGGGAATTGTTTTGCATCACATTCATCAAGGCTTGCAAGGGCTGCTCTCTAAGAGTTTCTCTGGGAAAGTTGACCCCCTCCATCCTAAAGCCTTATTCTTGCCCTTTCAACTTTGTTTTCATTCCCAAATGTCAGAAAAAAAAAACCTTTCAAAGAGACACAACTCTAGTCCCTTGAGGATGCCAAAAGTATTGTTTTGACGTGTTGTGAGTCAGTGAGCACAGACTTCTCCGTAGACGGGTTAGAGATGGAAACTCTGCCTTTGGAAGTGGAGACACCCAGGCAGAAGTGTACTAAGGAACAACAGCTTCACATTTTGATGGTTTTGTTACATTAACATTTCTTTGGTTTTATTGCAACACTTTTTTTCTTAATCTTGTGTGTGTGTATTGTTGTCGTTGTTGTTAAGTGCCATTTAGTTGAGTCGATTCTGACGCATAGCAATCCTGTATAGGGTTTTTGAGGAGTAGCTGGTGAGCTTGAACTGCCGACCTTGCAGTTCAAATGGCTTTGCAGTCTGGCATATATATATATATATATATATATATATATATGTGTGTGTGTGTGTGTATATATATCCATATGTGTGTGTGTGTAAACATGTATGTGTATGTGTGTATGGAGCTCTGGTAGCATAGTGGTTACGAACGGGCTGTGAACCCTAAAGTCAGCAGTTTGAAACTACCAGCTGCTCCACGGGAGAAAGATGAGGCTTTCTGCTCCTGTAAAGATTTACAATCTCGGAAACCCTGTACAGGGTCGCTGTGAGTCGGAACCGACTCCATGGCACATAACAACTACAACAACATACACACACACACACACACACACACACACACACACAGGCTCCTGGTATGGTGCTGTATAATAAGCACTGAATTCCTAACTGCAAGGTCATATATAGATAGGCTCCTGGTGTGGTGCTGTATAATAAACACTGAACTCCTAACTGCAAGGTCTGAAAGGTCGGTGGTTCAAATCCGAAAGTCGTTCCTTGGAAACTCTATACAGGGTCACGATGAGTCAGAACCAACTTGACAGCACTTAACAACAAATATACATATGTATGTATGTGTATAAGGAGCCCTGGGAGTTCTGTGGGTTAGGTTTTGGTTGGCTAACTACAAGGTTGTTGGCAGTTCAAGCCCAATAGGTACTCTATGTGAGAAAGATGAGGCTGTCTGCTCCCATAAAGATTAATACTCTCATTAGGAAATCCTCTTAATTAAAACTGACTGGATGGTAGTGGACTTTGGGATGTGTATGTTTATTCATCAACTATGATTTAATTGTGTCTTAAAGCAGACAAAAATGAGAGACAAAATTGTTGGATTTTCACAACATACTAAATTTTGAATTTTTGATTTCCATATCTTGTCATGTCTCTGATCGGTGGTATCCAAGGTTTTTAAGACCATGACCCAGAGTAAGAAATGTACACAAGCAACCTTCGGGTTCCTCACTGGGTGGTGTGCTCTGACTTTTCCATTCGTTTCTATTACAATACTCACTGTAACTTACTAACTAGATCACGCACGTTACTAGGGTAACAACCCAAAGCATCTGAAACAACATTTTCAATTAAATAAGGGAACACTCTCCATGTAACGACTACTCTTACCAAAATAAACATGAAATGAAAATTAGCTCAATACTCACCTTAAATGGACAAAAAGAAAAGTAAGCATGTTATTAAGCATAAACTGTTCAATAATACTTAATTGATACAAATTTATTTTAATTAGCTATAAATATTACTTTTCAAACCAGAAACTTGAATAATTATTTGTTAGAGAAAAGCAATCAACTTAGCATTAGTCATATCTTCCATCCAAAACAATAATTTTAAAAATTGGGAAGAACTGTGTCATTATCATGACAGACTAATAGGATGTGAGATGTGGAATGGCGCTGTAGGATAAGCACTGGACTGCTAACCACAAGGTTGACAGTTCAAGCCCATCAGCCACTTATGGAAATCCTATACAGAGTCCTTATGAGTTGGAACTGCCTTAAAAGCAGTTAACAACAACAACAATAAGGATGTGAATAAAATTTTTACAAAGACACAAAGCCTGACTGCAGTCTCACAACACCTACATTTGAAGAACAGCATATCACAGCTTAAGTCGGCGATAGAACCTAGAGGAAAAGCTCAAGATTAAGATCAGCATCAATATTTAAACAGGGTCCAGTGTATCATTCAGACTAGTGGGAATAAATACATACAAAACCCACATTCCTAGAAAATCCCCAAAGGATACAGATTACACGAGGGAACATCAAAAAGATGATGGAAAAATGGAAATGACAGATAAAGGAATTTTCCCATGAGCTTTTTTAATGTTAGGAGACATAAACCGAATAGTTAAAAGTACCAATCAACTCCTAAAATGAAATGCTACGTAGAAATGTTTATTTGAGAACAAGCTATTCATTCACTCGCTCATCCAGACAACCAATTACTGATTGAGTGCTTCTAAGTGTCAGCCACTATTCCAGGGTCTAGATACACAATGCTGAATAAGACCCCCTCACGAAGTTTCCCTTCTAGTGAAAGAAATGGAAATAAGAACTCAACTAAGAAATTAAGACAATTAAACTTTGTTCAATATCTAAATAAGGAAAACAATAATTGGAGGCATAAACATCAAATGCTTTATAACTGGAAACACTTCACTGGTTAAAGAAATCCACTCAAGTTCCTTGCACCTTCCATGCTGTACCTGTCCCACTGGACAGGAGAAAGATGAGCTGATGAAACAGGAGGCAGTTTTGGCAAAAGAAAGGAAAGAGGCATGCTGGTACCAGCTAAGCAGAGTGAGAGGCTGGAAGGTAGGGGCCCCCACCTGGTTAAGTGTGCATGCTAGAGAGTTGAGACTGCAAAGTTCAGGAAAGATCATGGAACCGGGGACTGGGTCTGGTTTAGAGTGCTGCCCATGATTAGTTATGTGACACCAACAGTGTGAAAGCCTCCAGAGAGTTGTTTCTGTACAAGAGAGATGATGATCTAAGCTAACTCTAGGAGTGTACCGATGATAAAATGAGATGACTTTCCGAGTAAAGCTACCTGAAGAGCCAGGCCAACAAAAAAAATTAGTCCTTCTTCCTCCCATTTTCTAAGCAAGTTGTCTTTTTAAAATAGTCATAATAATGTTCTGAAGACCCAGTAAATTTATATATATATATATGAAAGCTTATATAATTGGGACAAATTTTAAAGAGCTTTTTATCTCACCTATTTGTTGAAATTACAATCAGTGAAAAACCAGTTGCTGTGGAGTCTACTTGAACTCATGGCTACTCCAGCTACCCCATGTAGAAGGTCAGGCCCTTCTTTCAAATGAAACACTGTGAGTTACAACTGAGTGTATTAACTGTTTGCACCAATCTCAGATAGCGCTTTACAAATGGCAGTTTTGAATTAAATAAAACACAGGAAAGCAAAATATTCTTATATTTCTAATAATGAACTGTCAGCATCTAGCCAAACATCCCCTTTGATTTTAGTGTGTGTGATTTTGCTGCGGGATGGTTAACACCCTGGAGGAGGTCGTTTCTCTAGCATGCCTGGGAGAAGCACACACGCAGCGGGGATGGCAGAGAGCTGGCAGTAATCCTTGGATGCTGTGGGAATGGAATTTGAACTAGCAGCAAAGAAACCATTTAAAATGCCCCTTGCTGTTTGGTAAGCACAGATTTGAGTGGTTTTCTAGGAAATCACATGCAGGCTTTTCTAAAGATGGGAGAGGGAACCCAACTTCCTACCAGAGCATATGCCAAACTTCCAGAGCCCCCCTCTTGTGCAGTTAGGAACAGAGACAAATTCTCTTTTGCTCAGCTCTCTTCTTAAATTGTGGTGTCCTGTCAGCAAAAGAATCTGCCCTTGCAAGGTGGCATTGTGTCAGGCCAGGCTACAATGAATGAGATTACAACTCATTCTGGAGTCATTATGTTTTAGATGGGGCTCCCTGGTGAGAAGAGTTCCACACATGGCTAATCCTCTCAAAGTCAGTGTTGATTCACGCAAACTTAAATTTATAAAATCTTCTGACCTTTATCTGCTACTTATGGGTAGGGGGGTGCAGTCATTGTTTATTGAGTCCTGTTGCTCCTCTAAAGAGCTCTGGTGGTGCTATGGGTTAGGTACTAGGCTGTTAATCAAAGGTCAGTGGTTCAAACCCACCAGCTGCTCCTCAGAAGAAAGATGAGGCAGTCTACTCCAGTAAAAGTTTACAGTCTCAGAAACCCTGTAGATTGCTCTTCACAAATGGCAGTTTTCAATTAAATAAAACCTATGAAAGCAAAATATTCTTACGAGTTACTATGAGTAGGAAGTGACTTCAAGGCAGTGGGTTTTGATTTGTTCCCTTTCCCCAGAGTGCAAACTCCTCTGCCACATCCTCAGGATCACACACTGTCATTCGTTTATTACGTGAGGGGGGTGGGGATGGGAGGTATTCTGTCTAGTTAGGGTTTTGTTGGGACAATTCATGCTTAACGTGAATGATTGTTGTTGACCCCATATAGGGTTTCCGAGGAACAGCTGGTGGGTTTGAACAGCCAACATTGTTGTTTGTAGTCCAGTGCTGATCCTACAGCACCACACAATTCCAAAGCTGATGTCTCAATAGCTTTTTTGAATCCAAGAGAGGATGGAGCTGAACTTATTACACTTGTCAGCAGTCCCAACCCCCAAACTAACTGTTTTAGTTTTCTGACCTGAGCTGGAATTAAAAAGGCTTAATACCAACACAGTGGCTCCGTAAGATAAGCAAAGGACTGCGAACCACAGGTATGCAGTTTGAGCCCATCAGCTGCTCCACGGAAGAAAGATGAAGCTTTTTGCTCCAGCAAAGGTTTTTTTTTTTTTTTTAAAAAGCCTCGGAAACCCCAACACAGGGTGGCTATGAGTTGGAACCAACTCGACAGCACGTAATAACAATACCACCAGCATTGGGCTGGTGAGTCCCAATCTACCAGCCACACTCAGAAACCCTATACAGGTAACTCGAGTCAGAACTGACCTGATGGCACACAATACAACAGAATCAACCAAGGAGACCTGATGACTCAGTACTTAACAGTGCTCGGCTGCTAGCCAAAAGGTTGGCAGTTGGAACCCACCCGCCTTGGGAAAAAGGTTTGGAAGTTTGCTTCCAGCAAGATTTACAGTCAGTCTACTTGTCTTCCAGGGTTCCTGTGGCTAAGAGTCAACTGGACAGCAGTGGGTTTGGTTAAGCATCAACAGAGCTTTCTACCTTTATGATAATGGTTCACTGGGATAATCATTTCAGTTTTGATTCCAACTTATTCATTCACCTAAAAAACATATTTATTGTCTACTCTGTACTGGACTGTTATCTAGGCCCCAGGAGGAACAGTGAACAAGACCAGGAAGACCTGATTTTCATGGGGCTTCACAGTCAATAAAATTTAGCAGGGGGTTACTTAGGGGACACTGAGCCTCTGTTAAAAGTGATGGAAAATTTGGGAAATGGTTAAGAGTGATGTTTGTACAACATGATGAGCATCATGTCATTAAATAGTACATGTCAGTGACCAATGTTTTGTTTCATGTATATTTACTACACTGAAGAAGGATTTTTCAATGTTTACAGCTATCCTCTTCATTAATAAATGATGCTAAGACCTTGTAAGGTGATAGAAAATAAAGTGAATTAAATTTTTTTTGTTTTTTTTTTTCAGTATGCCATTTTCAACTCAGTTTTAGAAAAGAGTTCACTCTTACCTGTCCAGCATTTTGGTACTGGCTCGTTCCAGCTTCTCCAGGATCTGTGGAAGTTGGGTGTCATCATCATATGAACCTCCCCAGCCCAAGACCCGAGCAAGGTCGTTTCCTGTACCCAAAGGCAATACTCCCACTTTACACTGCAAGAAAGCACAAAGCAGGCATCAGACAAGTGGACATCAACCTGTTGCATTTCTGAACCTCTGTTTGTTTGATTCGTGTTACTAGCAACAGAAGGAATTGGCACTTGCCTGTTTGATTAAGTTGAGCTTGTCAATTTCTGACAAAACCCAACCTACACTTCCATCTCCTCCACACACAAGAATCCGGAAGTTGTCAAACTTCTGAAATAATCTTAAACTGAAAGTAAAACATATTTCATTTTAGTATAAATAAATAAAGATCAAATGTTTTCTCCAAATCTGTTACTCTAGACTGACTAGCATTTATATTCCTATTAAATATGAGCATTCCCACTTAATAATTGTACTATAAATATTAATGCAGGAGGAGTTTTTAACGCAACCCCTTTTCTTAATGATAATCAAGACAAAGGAATTGTAAGTAGAAATGGAGATAAAATTAGAATGGAATAGGAGTGACAAATGAGAAAACAAAAAATAGCAGAAACCATAAAAGAGAACTGAAAGTAATAATTTGTCTCTTTGTGTTTGAACGACAGCTATTTCCTTAACAATAATGCATAACAAGCCAGGGATGGCAGCCTAGGGCACTGAGGTTACTGAGTGGCACCCAAGGCTGTTCTAAAGTGATATATCAGACTTCCTCAGTGTGTTGCTATTAGTCTTTCCAACTTGCTTTTCTCTGCTTCCTCTTTCCCTATTCTCTCATGCAACACTCTTGTAACTTCCCGAATCATCTCAATTTTGACACATCCCACCATTTGAATGTACTTTTTCTGAAACCTCAGGTACTATGGAAAAGTATCTTTAAAAACAAAAACAAAACAGGTCCTTAGAATCTTAAAGGACAGATGAATGTGGAAAATAAATATCAAGAATATACAGTAATGGAACCATGAAGGATTACAAAATGATGTGCTTGATAGAAAGGGGAGGAAAGAGACCCAGGATTTGAATAGACAGTGAATGTGAGAGGACAAGCTAGAAGAGGAATGGTAGGATCCAAGCATCTGAGGAAGGGAAGAAACACACAAATAGATTAGAACAAAATGGGGCATAAAGTAGTTGGTCCATGTGACCAGAAGATCCTGAAGGACCAAAAGGGACTGACTGGAGGCATAAAGACAGACTGAAGGAGAGAAATTGAGATGACAGAGGATAAAGTGTCACATTATAAAATGCAAAATGCATCTCTGCAAAAAATGGTAACAATCAAACAGAAAACAGCAAATGATGGCAAGGCTGTGGGGAGACCAGAACTCCTATACACTGCTAGTGGGATTGGAAAATGGTACAATCACTATGGACAATGATACAATAATGTCTCAAACAGCTAGAACTACCGGGGGAGGGTGAGCAGGCTTGTAGTGTATGATGATGCATGGAGGGGACTGTAACCATGGCAATAAAACGATATACGATAGGATGTACATAAAACCAATGTTCTCCCATGTAAAGTATCACATAATTCACAATAAAACATTAAAAAAAAAAGAAGAAGAAAGATAGATCCAGAAGTGGCCGGCCTCCTTTGGATACTGAGATCCCTGTGCATTGAGTCTCCTCAACCCAGGACAGAAGGTTGTGTCACCAGAAGAGTGGTTGAGGAGCAGCAGCAGCAGAACCAAGAACCAGAGTATAAGACAGAGCAGTGGGTTTTTAGTCACTCAGCAAGTAAAGCTGAGTGACTTTGGGCAGGAAACTTGCTAGTAGGTTGCTGTGCCTCCAGGCACATGTGTGGGGGAGCTAGGTTTGCTGACCCATGGAGCTAAAGCTGAGTGCCTTCAGGCTGAGACTTATAGTTGAGTGATTTGTCCTGTAAGCATTTATTAACAGCTGACTGGAACCACTGTACCCTGAGCATTTTCTGATGCTGTATTGTAACCTGTTAACTTCGCTAATAAATCTCATAACTGTGAAAAATAAAAAAAGCTAGAACTAGGAATACCTACGATCCAACAATCCTGTTCCTAGGTATCGATCCAAGAGATATAAGAGCTGTGAAATGAACAGACATCTGCACATCCATGTTCATTACAGCACTATTCACAATAACAAAAAGATGGAAACAACCTAAGTGCCCATGAATACATACATGGATAAACAAATTGTGGTGCATACATACGACAGAATACTATATAGCTAAAAACAACAATGACGAGTCTGCAAAACATCTTCTAACTTGGATGAATCTGGAAGACATTATGCTGAGTGAGATAAGTCAATTACTAAAGGGCAAATATTAAACAGTACCACTATTTAAAAAAATCACAGATATACACATAGAAAACAATGTTATTTGATGATTGCCAGGGGATTCACTCTCTAGATAGTTAACACTTAGTATTTTTGGTGATGGGAAAGGCAATACTAAATATGAACGAAGTCTGCACAACTTGACCAAGGTAAATGAAGACACACACACACAAGAAAAAGGGCAGTTTCAGTAAATGCTGTTATATACATAATTTTACAACAAAAGCAATAACAATTAGAAAATATGTGTGTGGTTATATAAGTAGATATGTATGCATATATTCATACAGGGAGGTATATGCAATTTTTTATATATGTGTATTGATTGTTGTTGTTTGTTAGGTGCCACCGGATCACTACCAATTCATATCCACCCTATGATGCACAACAGAACGAAACACTTCCTGATCCTGGGCCAACCTCACAATT